ACACCATACTAAATGTTTCCACAAGACTTTTGACTAATGGATGTTGTCGCCTAGAGTTTTTGCTTCTAAGTGATCTGAAAATCATCCTGCCTAATCCACACAAAACAATACATTTATTTAAACTTTGTAAGACACGTTTTGTCTGGAAAGGCAATATGTGTGGGGGCGTGAATGATCATGAATAATAATGTGGTTCACACCTGAGAAGACAATGGCCTGCATAAAATGAGCTACATGATGAGCCTTTCATTCAGGTGTGTCACTGGATACCACAAGAAAGAATGTGAGGACTTATTTTGTATGCATGCAAATTGTATAATATCCAAGGTAAATATTTCTAGTAACTATGCAGTTAATTCTCATACTGTATTTTCAGAAAGTTTTGGAATATAACCTCTCCCCAAATGTGTCACTAATAATAAACAATTTAATGAGAAGGCTTATATTGACCTATTAAGATGTTGCTTACATCAGGGTACGTACGGGTGCTTGAAATCCTTGAAAATGCTTGAATTTTGATGTTGTGTTTTCAAGGTTTGAAAAGTGCTTAAATTTTGGATAAAATGCTTGAAAATGCTTAAAATTGAAACTGTATTTCTTTCACAACAAATACCTAACTGACTGAATAGTTCGTTTATTAAATGGAGAAATAAAATGTAGCCCTTCAGATACAGAGCGATTTGCGGTACGCTGGCCAGAGCAAAAGCAGGCGGAGTTTTCATTTTGATTTCCGCGCTTGTTTGGATGCCCCGTTTTTATTGGCCGTGCGGGTCATTGTCACAGAGCGCTGCAGCAGCAAAAGTTGAACTATTTTTAACTTTAACCGCGCCGTGCGCTCGCTCGGCAATGCTGCGCTTTGGTCAACGCAGCAACAAAACGTCCTCGCGTGGCGCAAGCCATTGAAATAAATGGGTTTCATAGCACAGCGTATTACGCGTCCTGTCTGAAAGGGTCATTAGTACTTGGTGTGATAATTTAATGTAAGTATTGCATGTCCATTATGGCTCGTTCATTTGTGGAATATGCAGTGAACATAGCCATTTTTATGCAATATTTACACTGCTCTATTCCAGTAGATAAATGTATATGCGTTGAAATTACTTCAGTTTTACAGCCTGATTTGTAAGCAATATTTGGACATTAATATAATGAAAAGTATTATTCATAAGCATTATCTAGTTTAGACAGTGATACATTTTGAAAAATACAACTTGTGATTTGCTTAAATATCTGATCCTTCTGCTATTACGAAACACTATTTTGGCTGTTTATTGCATTATCTCTTTTAATGTGATAAAAACACTAAATAATAATTTTGACTATGTATTGGTAGGTCTATGTCATTTACGGTGGTGTAAGGTGCTTGAAAAAGCTTTAAAATGGACCTTGAAAGTCCTTGAATTTGACCTTGGAAAAGGTGTACGAACCCTGTTACATCTACCTTGTAAATATATTTTTTGCTATTTTATTAAAAAGTTTTCATGTAAATCAACAAGAATTACAATTTTAACAATATTTCAAGTGTAATCTTTGTAAAAAGTATACATTTTATCATATGTATTTCAAAGTTAAGGATTTATTAGTTTGAATATTGGAACAAAGACTATAAAAACATCTTAGTTGATAATTCAATATACTTTATTTTTGATAAAACATCCCATACTATATGATTAACATATGAGAAGAAATTGGTGAACAAAAGCTTATTTGATGTGACGGTAGTCTTTTTTACAGTAAAAACTTTATAATCTATCCAAAACTAATCAACGAAGTCTAAACATTCATATTTCGTCTGTAACATTGTTTTTATGATATATTAGCATATACATGTTAATTTGCAGTTTAATACATTGCTTATACGGCACAGATGCAAGCTGTTCTGTAGTAAACAACAGCACGCATCTGTCCAGTTCATTCACACACAGACATGCGATTCATATTTAAACAGTCTTTTTGCGGTTTACAGACACTATTGCATATCGCGATTAGAACAAAGTACTTAAGAATAACTATTCCACCTCAGCTTGGTCCGTTGCTCCTCGAAATGAAACTAAACCGGCTCTTCTGAGGTAAATTTTCCAGGAGTATTATTACGATAGTATTATTCCTCACAGCGTCGTAAAGTACATGAGTCTGATTAAAATTAAAGTGTTTCATCCAGCTGATGTGGGCACGTTTGCATCTTGCCTCAGATTATTTGCGTTTGAATAGTGCGCTCTCTCTGTGGGCGTGGTCACATTAGCACTTGAGCTATAATGAGCTGAAATGAGAACGACTGACATCTCTCATTTCATACAGATTACATAAACTGAGAATATTTGTTTTTATATAAATTACTTCATTTAAAAGAAGAGAATTCAAGCTTTATGCCTGTGTGACTGAGTTTTCGCTGAGTTACAGTTCATTTTCGGACGCGTTTCAGAATGGACTTCACATTGAGAGAGATGGCAGAACGTGCATCGTTTATTTTTCTTTATTTGGAAAAAAAGCACAACATTTTGTTATTGTGAGTATACAAAAAAATAGACACTTAACAATATCGAATGATGTATAACACTTATATGTAAGATCAAAATCAACAGAGTATTTTGAGTCTCTTTTGCACTGATAAGAAACAAAGCGAGCTGGTTACGCCGGCCAACCCCAGGGGGTTAAAAACGCATTCAAATGATCATTTGTGACTGTGCAGCATGGTCCAAAACCTCGGTTTATCATGTCTACCAGTATATCACACACCCCTAGTTCAGAGATTTGAACTTTTACATCAAGACCTTTTAAGTTTGCTAACAAGCAAAGTGGAGAGGAACTATTGGCATATTTGGACATGACGTTAGATTTGTTCCCAGTGTGAAATGTTGCTGGGAAGTTTAGTGTGTGGGGAGGGATGTGGCTGCTTGTAGATGTTTAGTAATTTGGATTTGTGATCCTCTATTTTGTCAATATAAACTCCTACATAGCTATTTTTAGTGGCACTTGCTAAGGCAAGCATCACTATTATGAGGCCCTATGAAATGAGTTCCTAAATTCTGTTTTCAATTAAATTTTTTCTGGATTCTTAATTCAAAATTTGTCAAATTCTGTCACATTCAGCAATATACAGTAAATTACATGTGTATGGATTTTATTTTTGATCTACGCATCATGGAAATCATAGGGCCCTAATAGTAATGCTCATACTTGTAGTTAAAGAAAGAATGAAAGTCTCCCAACAAATATCTCAAAGTCTCTCCGAAAGAACTTCACAAATATTTCAGTGTGTGTCTACATTCTTAAAGTTATTGATAGTTAAATTAAATGTCAAAAAGGCCCTGACCCCTATGACCAATGACTTTTCATGCATCAACAGAGGAAGCACTTTGGCCACAAAAGACGACTTATGCTCTCTAACCTTCCTGACACTCATTCAAGAAACCTGTCGACTTTGTAACCCCTTGTTTTACACTCATATCTTGCCAAGCTTCCTCCTCTTTCACAAATCAGCAACATCTGAAGACTTATGTCTGCCTGCACACATAGACCAACTATTTAAAAAAGACAAAATTGACAAAACTCAATTGATTGGGTTGTTGTGGACTGTAAGCCAGTGACCGAATAAACAAACAATATATTGACTATTAAATTCATTTTTCCTCTGTTAGATGTTTGTTTCTTTCACAGTAGTGCAATGTCTTTTTAATTTTATTTTAATTTAGGAGGTTTTTCAGAAATTGTTTATTTGTAATTTATTGCAATTCATTGGCATATCATGTAATTTAATTAAAAACTTTGATTTAACAGCCCCAATTTCAATACATCAAGAGACATTTTACCCTACAATCCCTCACAGCTGCTTGTTCGTCACTTTTTGGCATTGCATATTGAGTGAACTGATTTGCGTCTGAAGGAGTTTCCCACATGGATTTAGCATTACAATCAAAGCACAAACCCATGTTTACAATTGTATTGCTATTGTAAGCTTTCTGTTATTTACAGTATGCAATCTTAACAGCCTGTTATAGCTAGCTGCACAGTTTCATTGTATGTAAAAGTCTCAAGAACAAAAGCGTAAAAGTTCCATTATCACACAAGAGCACAATGTCATTCAAAAGGGCAAGGAGGTACTGCAGCCTCTCTGATCGCAAGATTGTTCTGCTTCCTCCCTATTGCCTTAATTTTGTTAAGACGTGACTGACCACAAGGCCTCCAGAGAAGGAAAGTGTGTCAGAGTGAAAGAACACCAGTGTGAAGGAGTGCAGGGGGAGGGAGAGATTGAAAATTGAAAGCAGCTGATGTCCAATACGCTCCAACAGAAAAAAAAACAAGCACAAAAGCAGACTATGGAAAACAGTAGCACAATTTTAGTTGTCCCAGAGCTTCCAAGCACCAGTGCCAGTGTTCTTCCATCCGTTTGCTGTTCCATTCATCTGTTCCCCTTGTTGCAAACCAGAAGCTTAAATGGAGCATTTGTTTGAAAGGTGATAAGGACTTTGGGACTTGGGAATTGAGTGCTTATGATTTTTATGGAAACGTTTTTTAATTGGGTCAGAAGTGGAATTGGAGATGCAGCTGCTGCTGTGGAAAGGTAAGGCCTGTGTTAGCTGGTTAGTTTTGGAGATGCTCCTTTTGGGAGGAATTAAAAAGCGTAGAGAGCGACTCAGCACATGTGGCCTGGGCCAGGGCCAATGCCATCTGTCTTTTATGAACTTCAGGTGTGTGTGCTTACCAGATGTTCGCCACGGTTGAACAGTGAAAGCCAACTGTATAATTTTTTTATGAGCTGTTGTTGCCGCATACTCTGAGCTGAATCATTAATAGCATGTTAAATGCTCAATCACACCTTTGGCCTTGGTCACTTGTTGCTGTCTAGATGGACACCACTTTTTATTTTTGGCTAGCCTAGTGGTTAGGGAATTTATTTAGTTGGGAATGGCTTGAACATGTTTGCTTCTGGTGTTTTGGGAGAGTCATTGCCTATGGGGAATCGCTCTGTGGACTTCACTGGTGTGTGTCTTTCTGTGCAGAAGCTGGGCAGCAGTATGCAGTGTGAGGAGGGCACTGAGTGGCTGCTGGAGCTGCTGATGGAAGTGCAACTGCAGCAGTACTTCCTGCGCATCCGTGATGAGCTCAACGTTACACGTCTCTCGCACTTTGACTATGTGAAGAATGAGGACCTGGAGAAGATTGGTATGGGCCGGCCGGGTGAGTCCAACCAAGGTGTTTTGCTTGTAGCTTTATCACAAATAATACTTTCCACAAGGCACTTCACACAGAGATCCGACATCGACACTTATGCAGAGATGCAAACCAAATTTTTTTTATGATTTTAATTGTGATGATTGACACAGTGATAACCATAGCAATGGACCGATTTAAAAAAAAAAAAAAATCCCTGTTGTCTCAATACGTTTAGTAGCTTTAATAAGCTTTATTTTATTACTTTTAATATTTATTTTTTCTTAATTTTATTACTGACTTTTTCCTTGACTTATTTAAACTTAAAATTAAACTTAAAACTTGTTGACAACTACATGCTAGTATTTTAATATATTATAATTATTATTGGCTTTAATGATTCACTTAATATAGACACAAAATATAGAGCTTTGTGAAGCTTGATCTATGAATGACAACGCGTCTCTGTCTGTCTACCGATGTCAGCACCTTAATCTGAAGGTCATCAGGTCCAAATTGGTTTAATAATTTCTCATAGGCCCTGTTTACACCTGGTATTAAGATGCGTTTTGGTCAATCGGATCACAAGTGGACTACGCTAAATACAGGTGTAAATGGGGTCTTAAACATTTTGAGCTTGTTCACTTTCGACCACTTCCAGAGATAGTTTAAAACGCATTCGACCGGATTGCTTTCGTAGTGTAAACGCTCATGTAATCGAATGCATTCGAACAGCCACAAAAGACCGTCTGCTCTCTGCTACTGACCTAATGAGTAAACATTATGGAAGTGCGCTAGCCAGACGGGATTAAACTTTGTCGGCTGGAGACCTAAGTTTGATTTGAAGATGAAAAACGATGAAAAGCGCGATGTTCTCTCACCATTCCTGATTTCTAACACGCACTCGAAGCATTTGGCATCGTATTGCGTCTATGAGAGCAGAAACGAATGCTGATACTCTCCGTATGTTTTTCTGTCGTCTCTGGGCGCGTTCTTATGTAAATTGCCTGAGCTTATTTCGTTCATTAGATTGAAAGATCTGAAAAAGGCCCTACATTTACCTCTTCCATAGACCCTCCCTTCGGATAAATTAGGACAGAAGTGGTTGAAAGTGGACAAAAGAGATGGATTAAAACACCATGAGTGAACGAGAATGTGTCTCCCTCGTCTACCTTTGATACCAGGAGTAAACGGCCATAGAGTTAAGTTTCTGAAAATTCGCCTTTGGCTAAGCCACACCCTAGAATGTAGATTGACCAATCACAGCGCAGCCAAGAACGAGCTCCCACAGAGGTCCGACACTTTTTCACAGCGCTCCATTGACTTTAACAAAGGCGTCTCATATTTTTGGTCTCGGCAGGCTATTACCGTCGTAGTTTTATCAAAAATATGGTTAAACGTTGTGCCTGGGGCATTTGTAACACAGATACGCGTTTCCCAGAGAGGTTGGGAGGGGGGTGTGCGTTTTTTTCCCCTCCCAAAACCAGTCAAATCCTGACAAGTGTCGTCTAGCACACGCTGGTAATAAATACAACGTTATACTCACATAGTCCGCTTGCTTTGTAATAACGATTACAGAAGTGAATAGAGACCTACCCAGCTTTGCATGAACCGTGTTGCTCCTTGATATTGTTAGTCCCAGCCTCCGTCTCGATTAGTAGGATATGCGGTGGTTCATTTTTTTGACTGTGACCGGTATGCTTTTGCCTCTTGGATATTGGATATTGTTGTTCCTTGCGTTTCACCTGTATGTCGTGAATATAGCCTTCGAACGTTTATTGCAGCCGCTTTTGCCTACTTCTATCGGACACTTTTATTTGCTGCTTTATAAAAGTTTGATAAAATTTCAGCAGGAAGAGCTGTCACAGCATAAGCCATGTTGATACCAGAGCCCAGATGAAGTTCGTTTGTCGGACGTAGCAACAGTAACTAAGGGGGGCGGGGCTTAGCCAAAGACTAATTGAAAAGGTGTTTTTACACGCGCTTTTTAATACAACAAATTTGTATTAAAGATCAGATTTTTTTTTTTTTACAGTGGTAAACCCAGCAGTAGTTTTAAAAGTCTGTCAGATCAGTCACACACATTGAGGCTTTGTGACACCTGAATTTAGAAATTTCCCTTAAGCACGTGTCCTATTTTACCCTCTCTTCATCTTTTTCTCACTCTTTCAGTTTCTTTCGGTTTCTCTTTCCCTGATTTCAACTTTTTTATCTAAGCAGGAACTGTTTGCAGAAATAGTTTTGAAATTAGAAATCAAGTGTTTAAATGATTTTTTGGATTAAGCTGCATTGACAGGATTGATTACAGAGGGTGATTGGACTCATTCTTCAGTTTGTAAAATCAAGCAAAATCACATGGAGTACGATAGGAAAAAGCATTCTGGAGGGTTTAGACTTGTACAAAAATGTTATTTGAGCTGTAATTAATCTAAATTACCCTTGAGACAACTCTTTTCTATGTGGATACATTTATGTTAATTCATTACAGAAGTAATTCCTTAGGGTGGATAAACAGAAAACCCTTTCTAGTGTCCTTGCACATATCATGTGACAATTACAAGGTTTATCAGCTTCACAACTTTGCACAAGTACTAAGCAATTTATTGCACTATTACTAAACATAATCCATTTGAATTTTTATTCAAGTGCATTGGTTTGCTTCATACACATTGTAAGTCTTTTACTGTAACCACAATGTTTGCTTGATTGAAGAATACTGTAAGTAATTTTTTTATCTGTGGTAATTGTCAGCATGTCACAATGTCACTGTTGATAAAGCTGAACTTGTTTTGAATCCGCAGTATTCATTAAATAACATTCTCTCATTTGCTTTCTTTTATAGGGCAAAGACGGCTGTGGGAGGTGGTGAAGAGGAGAAAAACCATGTGCAAGCGCAAGTCTTGGATGAGCAAGGTATGTCATCAGCCTTCCTCGCACGTACTGACAGATTAATGAGACTTCCAGTCCAAGGTCAGGTCCCACACACAAACACACATCCGGACAAGGACTTCACTTCAGTCATTGGTCATTCAGCTCACATTGTCCCTCAAGCGCTTTACAGTCTCTCACTTGTCAAATGTCTTATTAAACCTGAAAGGAATACACATTTAAAGCACTTGACCTAGACTATTTCAGCAGCCTTTCATCTTTTGCACAACATAACTCATGCGATTGCTTTTGTCAAGCTGAGGTCAGTCATGATGCTTCTTAAAAGATAACTCACGGGTCATGGAGCCGAGCAGTTCAGAAATCGAGCCTTCTCTGTCTTAACAATTTTTGTGCTATGTGTGTGTATGTTTTTATTTTTTTATTTTTTTATCTTATGTAGTTGGTCACTTGAGTGCTGAAGCAGGAAATGTCCACTCAGGCCTGCTGCTCACCCACTAAAGCACTAACCAGGTTAATGGTCCATCAAATGCTGCAGGAAGAGCCTCAAATTGGCCTTAGACACAAGCAATAAATCGGCACAATGTGGGCCTTTCTCTGGGGTCTGTGTGTGCATTTTAAGCGTGTGCGCGTGTTTGACGATAGATTCAGAATTCAGAGGAAATTAAGTTAGTGCTTGATTCTGTAGGTCAGACTAAAATTTATAAAGCATAGTTTACTGCATTCTGCCCAAATAAATTATGGATGATATATTGATAATTTTTTTTTTACAAGATTTTAATTAAATAAAGTGAACCCTATATCATAAATACTGAACTGATACTAATAGACTTTTTTATTTGGTCAGTACGTTTCCTAAAGACCATGTCATTGGGCTAGTTTTACACCCACACCTTCTGTCAAGAGTTTGAGAGAAATGCTGGTGGGCTTGGAAAGTTTGATTCTGGGAATCACTTATTTGTTTCATCTATTAAAGCTGCAGTCCGGCGTTTTTCCTCTTTGTCGCCATCTCTGTTCGAAATCTGCAATTGCAGTCACTCGCGGAATTATCAACTTTACGTGAGTTGTACTTCAACACCCTCGACACGGCACAGCGCGGATGAACACAGTGTTTGAGGAGAGTGTGCAGCTGTCAGTCTCGCGCCGATGTGGATATTTTTCATTCAGAATCACAGATTATTCTTTTTGGAAGTATGACCAACATAAGAATTTTCACCGGAAAATGTCATCTGAACTAGTAAGAAACATCCACTTTTGTTCTGGTTCTGACATTGCAGTAAATCGCGCTGATTAAATCTAACAATTGCTTATAAGTTATCATTTCACGCAAAACCGTGCAAAGAAGCTATACTATGTTCTCAAATTGTTAATGATAAAGGGGTCATATAATGGTACATGCACTTTTACAAGTTGATTGTACTGAAATGTGTGTTGGCAGTGCCTGTACACAACCATCATATAATGATAAAAATCCATCCAGTGTTTTTGTTTTAATCTCCTATGTTTTCCCCTGCCTCAAATCAAGCCGTTCGACCGTGTGACGTCACACGGTCGGACGCCCCTCCCACGATTGTTGATTGACAGCCGGGTTTCAACACAGAACGTGAGCCAGCTGTCAATCATAGTCTGCGCGGACCGGCGCGGTCATTGTTGATATGCTGGAGCACTGTCAATGAGCAGAATGGCGTCTAAGCGATTGTGGTGTTCTGTTCTTGGGTGTAATAACGAACACAGCAGTCATTTTAATGTTCCTAAATCCGAACCGCTGAAGACGCAGTGGCTGAGTTTGTTTTCGAAGGGAATATTCCCCACGAGCAACGTCAATGCTTTCATGTTTGCGCGAATCATTTCTCACCAGACTGCTTTATAAACGAGCGTCAGTATAAAGCTGGTTTTGCTAAGAAGCTGCACCTGAATAAAGGATCGGTACCAGCTATTCGTGTTCCTGCTGAACCTCTAGAAGAACTGAAGTGAGTGTAATGTTTTATTAATCTTTATATTAATATTTATATTAATCTTTGCAAATCGCTTGCACGCTTCACGATGAATGCGTCTAAGGTTTACACTTAGGGTACATTACGGCATGTTTTCTATGTATGATGTTCTCTATATAATTCATAATCCCACGTTTATAATGAACAACGCGTTATGGTTATTGTGTTACAAACGGTGTACGCGCAGAACAGAGAGGCGGGGTGAGCAAAGCTCATTATCATTTAAAGTCATATGCACTGAAACGGCGTGCTGAAAACAGAGCTGTTTTTGACCAGGTAAAATAAGTGTTTCTTACAATACTAATGAGAATTTTTAATTAAAGTATATTACAAACTTTTAATTTAGACCCTAAATAATCATATTAGCTTGTACAAAAATGGCATTATATGACCCCTTTAACAACGTCAGCAAGCATTGCGTGACTACATGTAATGTCCTTCCGATATGTATCCTTGTTTTCGCATGGGTCCGGTTGCAGTCTCTTTTTTTCTGTAGCCACTCCGAAGTCCGAACGAAGTCTTTTGTATTTTACAGCGGGTAAGTCTCTAGTTGTCACTGGTGATTGTCGTTTGAACCTTTCTGGATCCGCCATCAAATTGATAAGTTTAATTATATCAAGTGCTGTGAGAAAAGGCTATAAATCTCCACCTCCAGCATCCTCACGCAATATAGCCTACTAGCCGAGACTCTTCTTTATGTGTACAGATATGTGACGTAATGACGCAAAGACATGCTTGAATCTCCCGCGGAAATCCACCAGTACCACTGGAGTTAAAAACATTATTACAAGCTTACCCCTTTGAATCGGGCTAAGGCAAGCAGATTGTTTTGAACACTGGCTGGTTATGTATTTTATCAAATATGTATTTTGGATCATTTTTAACCCAAAAAAAGCTACGGACTTCAGCTTTAAATGTTCATGAAAACCCCTGCATGTCCTTTTACTTGCTTTAAAATATTTCTTCTTTTTGTTTGAACCATTTTGAATCTACTTGGCAGTAGGCTTGCCGTGGTAGTATGTGTTGTTGGTGTTACGCGGCACCGCCCCACTGTCGTTTTGCTTTTTTTATAGAAAAATAAAAATCCGTTTGGTTCAGTTGGACAACTACAATAATAAAATGAAATTATTTGCTCTGCTCCATACAGCATGAGCTGCACAGTGCAGCGAGAGTCAGATTTCACTCATCACGTGACGAGAGTAAGGAGAGATGACTGACAGGACGGAGGAGGAGGATTTGGTGCGCCAAATTTGGTGCGTCGTCTTTTGGTCTGTTTTAGGGTTGGCAGACCCTTTAATGCTGGTTTGCTGTGAGAAAATAAGCTAGGAACTAAATCAGACTGTGTAAAAGCAGCGGCTTGTTATGCCCAAAATATTTTTATAACAAACTATAAACTGACCAGAATAAATGTATTCTTTGCTCTGAGCTGTTTCTGTGTGGCTGGTTATAGCGCCACCTCGGTGTGAGACTTGTTTTCATAGGGCTAGATGTCTGGTTATGGCTGACCAAAGACCTCACTGGAGCCAGAGTCAGTTTTAACTTTTGTAAATAGTAACAGCAGTTAATGCATTTGTAGTTATAACACACATTTATTCATTTCTGTTTATTTCTGTTGGTCCGCCCTGCTCTGGTTCGTTTAATACAACTACAATGTTTCTTTTTCTGTGTTTGTCTTATGTATTAAGTGTGTATTTGTGCTTCAGTGTTATCCCATCTGTAACAGTGTACAAAGAGTCATGACTAGAATTAGAGAGACCGCAGAATGAATCTGCGGTCTCTTTCTTCTCTGTTTGACTTGCCACATCATTAATCTCCTATTTCCAAATACATTTAAGGATGATAGACTGTGTGCGCTCATTTACGGTCTTTTTGAGAGGAAGTGTGTATGTGGGAGTGATATACATGCAGGGTCGGACGGATGATTGCTTGTCTAAATCATTTGCTGGGCGAATTCCTCTGTCTGTGGGATGAGAGGACATCTTGACCTTTGGCACCAGACACTGCACACTTGTGTTAACTGAAGCACACACACAGATATTTTCTAGTTCTTTACTTTAAAAAAAAAAAAAGTGAAAAAAGTCATATACCTTTAGGGGTACAACAACTTATCACTGGGGCAGTACCCTTAAAGGGACAAACCTTTAAGGGACAAACCTTAGTTGACCCTAAATAGTGCATATTAATACCTTAGAGTAGTAATATGTCCCCTTAAGTTACTCCTATGAACACTTTAAGGGTCGATAAGGTACAGAGTTGTCCCTTTCATGGTACTACCCAGTAGTATCCCTAAAGGTAAAATCTTTGCACATTATATATCTTTGTATATCATTACTTCTACTACCTGTACTACTGTACCTGTACTTCTACTACATGTACTACTTTCACACACCCATGCACACAGAGGTTGATGTATACGTTCAATATTTCAATATCGTGTTTACTTAACCTCCACTCAGCTCTTTCATACATGTCAAATAATGAAACAAAAACACACCGATTTCCTCCCTTGTGTGGAGGCTTTAGTTGCAGCATTGGCCTGGGTCTACAGGAAGTGGCCTGGATGAGAGCTTTCTAAAATTACACCTGTTTGTTTCCGTTCCTGGCACCAAGAGCAGACTGAGTAATCTGCCTCCTCACTCTTCTGTTAGTGTGTGTGGGCATACTTTTAGTTGACACGTATCCTCAGTAAATGTTCTCCTGTTTCAAATGTTGCTTTCATTTAAATATGTATGGATATCTATATAGGAGGGGTCGGGAACCCTTTTCACCAATTTTATTTTTTTAAATACATTTTTGAAAGAGCCAATGCACAAACGAATATTTTACTATTATTCTTAATTTACGAAAAACCTTTTTCAATAATATTTAGATAACGATAACTTTATTTAGCTTCATAAACAACTAAAAAACTGCAACAAACAATAGATAACATGGTTTATTATGGCATTAATTGTGCAAGGTTTTCAAGTTTCCACCTGAACAGCATAAAACCGTGTGTGTGCTTGTTTTTCTATCCTGGTGGGGACTTCAAACAAGCTTATAAATCATACACAATGAGGTTGTTGTTGTTTTTATTGAAAATGTAAAAATGCAGAATGTGTTCTGTGATGAGTAGATTTAGAGGTAGGGTTAGTGTAAGGGGATTTAATATACAGTTTGTACAGTATAAAAACCATTACAGCTATGGAGAGTCCCCACAAATATAGTAAACCAGATGTGTGCGTGTCATTCCAGTCCCTTTGAAATTTTCAATTCTCTTCTGCATTCTTTCTTTTCACTATCTCCACAAACTAGCTGGGCAGTTCCTTGTATCTGAGCACCAGAGGTTGCCATGACTGTTCACACAGCATTAGTTGATTGTGAGTCCTGTATTTGACTCCTTTAATATGGTTTCACACATATTCACCTGTAAAGTTTTGGGAGTCACAACCCCATTCTCTGCAAACCCCTGCTGTGTGAACCGGACTGGACAACTAGTTGTCTCTTTCGTCATATTGTGCAAAAGAACAACTCTGCGCTTCACAAAGGCGTGTCACGTTTTTTTCCATTGTGTGTTTTGTTTCAGTAACTTACAGAGACGGAGATATGAGCTGTGTGTCATGTGAAGTTATCAGATTTGTGCAGATCAGTGTTGTGCACAGCGGTGCATACGCAAATTGGTCGGGATTAGCAAACACTGAAAACACTTAAACTAATGTTAACAAATGAGACCTTATTGTAAAGTGTTACCCAAATATTTTCTTTATCTTTTAATATTTGGCCACTTCTTCACAAAAGAAATGCTTCAGCCACTGTCATTTCTTAAACAAGAATATGTAGACACTGGACATCAGAGCAAGGGTTTAAACTTTTATTTTGAAATCGCAGTGAACAGTGTGCATATTTAGAAACATATTGATATATTCTCGTGTGTTGGTGTAGGTTTATAAATGTTTTACCTTACAAATCTGATTTGAGCAACCCAAACTCTCAACATATGCAGAGATGGAGTTTGAGACGCGCTTCACACATGTTATTACATTGACAGTAACACCTGAATCATCTATATTGTGGAGAGCAGCCAACAATTTCCACTTTGAAACAAGCCGTTTATTAAACTTAGTAATTCTCGCTTAATGAAAATGTAAAAATTACTGAAAGATTTTGTGAGGGATAGGTTTTGGGTTTAGGGGACAGAAGATATCATAGGTTCAGTATTAAAACAATATAAGTCATTGGAAAGTCCCAAACCATGATAGAAAGATGTGTTTGGATTTGTTACTCATTGAGGCATTTGTCAGTGTGTAATGTATCTTTGCTATGTGTACGGTTATCACGCGGTAGTCTGGGGTTCAAGGCTCTGTCTGGATCCTCTATATTCACTCTGGTCCCAGTTCAATGTTTCTATTTTCAGCCTGTCCGTCAAATCCAGGCTCTCACTCTCAAGGCTAGAGACATTGCGTTCCATCCTTCTCTATTTCTATTTTCTCTTTTTTTCCTGCATCATCTCTGTCGGTCTTATCTGTCTGTCTGTTTTTAATGGGTTAAGGCAGTGGTCTTCACATTTTTTTTCGTGAGAGCCACACTGATAGGACAAAGTCAATAGGAGAACCACTTTTACCGCAAAGTATTAAAAGTTACATCCAGTCATAAATACCATGTCTGCTTATTAATCTGTCATCCCTGAACATACAATCATTCTTTATCATTTACCAGTCAAATTTGTAAGACTATGATTTCCCTTAATGACAAAAAAGCCGGATTTCCTTAAAGCTCATCCCAGAATACATTTTTAATGACCTTAAGTTTTTTTTTTTCTACTTTAGCCCATCATGTATCTCACCATCCAAGAGCACATTCGGTGTTAAGAGCTGGAAAGACAGCCAAAACTGGCAACTCTGCAGTGAGTCACGGCTATGTTTACATGCACAACATTTAGGCGTATTTCAGTCTGTCTGAATTCATTCCAATTGATGAATCTGAATGTAGTGTATACAATGAACGCTAAACAAGTGATCAGGTTGATGGTTTATATGTCACAAGCTTCAAATCGGACTACATTTTTTGACATGCACACACTGCACAAATATACAAATTCTAATAACCATTCTCCTACATAGGTTCTTAATTTGTTTTAAACAGCAGACTTAATATTTATCCATTGGTCATTTCCATTTATCCTGGTCATAATTTGGAGACCATGAGCAGATGAACTGTTGTGCCGTGCTGCTTATATTTATCACACAGTGAAAATGCCCCTCCCTGCGCCCAAAACCAGTCGTCTGTGGATGAGAATCCGAAACAAGGACTTGGTGGGACGTTGTCCTGCTTCACTTCACAGACGCTGAGTGAAAGGAGAATATTAGAATGACTGACGGGACACTCATTTATGTGACACTTTATTCAACAGGAAGAACAGCTCGTTCTGCGTGTCACACGTCATTACGCCATTTCTACGTCATTGCACATGCGCAGTCCTTAGAGTTTCGATTTTCAATACGATTAAGTGTTTACATGTTCTCTTGATCAGATTATAGTCTTTTATAGATCTTTAATATTCTATATTTCCATCTTGTAATGCCGCTGTTTTGGGTATTTTTTTAAAATATAAATTATTTGTAAGAGAGCAGAGACTTTGAGTTTTTTAATGGGTTATGTTATTATAGCCCTACTTGTTTTTAATGTTTTTTTTTTAAATACTGTATTGATTGCATTATCGTATCACTGTATTATTTACTGCCATGCGAGCCACAAATTAAAGCTTGGCGAGCCGCGCAGTGAGTAACACTGGGTTAAGGTTAGGGTTATCTCTCACTCCTTAACCTTCCGTTGCTGCCAATCCTCCTTGTCCCTTAAGTTACAGCCCCTGGCTTACCTCAGCCCACACCCTGGTTCTCGATAGCTCAGCTCTCCTCGGCCGACCCACAGGCTCCTCATACAAAGTGCCTCAAGAGCTGATAAGCAGTTGGAAAGAGTAGCTCTGTCTAGAATCGCCGTCTCTCTCTTGTTGTGATTTCTACTGCTGTCCTTCATTTTTGTTTTGGGATGTTCCATCCCAATTACGGTTATCGTTACCGTAATGGAATAGAGACTAGCCATGGAGTCCTCAAGTTTCTGGTACACATTCGATGCAGTTCCAGCTGTGCACAATTAAAAGATGGTTGTTATGTGTGTTGATAAGGGCTTTTATTTGTCACCTCTAGATCTTGACTTTGTTGTTGTTGTCCGTGTGTTGATGAGGGCTTTTATTTGTCACTTCTAGATCTTGACTTTGTTGTTGTTATCCGTGTGTTGATGAGGGCTTTTATTTGTCACTTCTAGATCTTGACTTTGTTGTTGTTATCCCTAAGGTTTTCAGTGGGAAGAGACCAGAAGGAGACTTTAATCCCCAGCCAGCCAGTACTTTCCGAAAACCCTCCCCCACATCTCCACCGCTGGACAGCCAGCAGCAGACCCTCACCTGTCTCATCAGCGAGAAAGACCTTGCCCTCTTTGAGAAACTGGGCGACGGCTCCTTCGGCGTGGTCAAACGTGGAGAGTGGTTCACGCCAAATGGAAAAGTGGTGAGTGGAAGAGGGGAGAAAAGATGAAAGTGTTTGAAAAAAACAGAGGGGGCTTTGTTGAAAACACCAAATGCAGAATTCAGGCACCAGCTCAGTCCTGCACAGTTTGGTCTTAGTCTTAGTCCTGTGTCAAATGTACTTAGTTTTCATTTTATTTAGGCAACTTTGTCATGTTTTTATTTTAGCCAACTTTTAGCCGACAAAAGCCTGGTTTCAAAGACAGGGCTTAGATTAAGCCAGGATTAGACCTTAGTTCAATTAGAACATTTAAGTAGGTTTAATAAACATGCCTTAGAAAAAAAAATTCTTATGTGCATCTTGAGACAAAACAATGGCACTGACATATTTTAAGCTATGTCTGTGCATGTTGCTTTCAGTTAAAACAGCACAAACATGCATTTTAGTCTGGGACTAGGTTTAACTTTAAGCCTTTTCTGTGAAACCCGGGGTAAATGTCTGGGCAGTTTAGTCAATGAAAACGTTGTTATATTTTTTAATAATGCTGCATAATGGTTAAACTGATAAAAACTTAATCAGTATCAATAATAATAATAACTCAAAATTATAATCACAACAATTGTTGTCATTTGAGAAATCAATTTTTTACATTTCATCAGAATTATTGCACTTTCACCTAGAAGTACAAATCAGGAGAATGTCAATTCATACGCATGGGTTTTTACCTCATCTACTGTACGGGTTTATTATAGGCTATTTATCATATAAAAGAACACTCTCTGTCTACATTATGAAAACTGGTAAAACAAGAAACTTCTCTCAAAAATGAAAACAGAAAAAATGAATGTAGTTTGTAATTTCTATTAGGAATTTCACTATTAAAACAACAGCAAACAATATAGTCGAGATCCATGTTTGGGTTTATTACTGTTCATCACGGAAAAGGTTTGATCGCATATTTAGTCGGAGCAAACAGCACAAACTGCTCATGAAGAAATACAAACTGACTGAATGACAATTTCATTTGTTTTCAGATCATCTGCTCTTATTCCACATTGCAGAGAGAGCGCATGGTTGCCAGATTGCAAAGATTAAGTAAAATGCTGGGGAGAACATGTAACAGGAAAGCTCTCTTTGGGGGATTTAAATGCTTGAAATTTGGCAACTGCAAACATGTTAAGCAGCATGTAATATTTTGTCTCCTCTTTTTCCCCGAACAAAATAGAGAGATTTTTGTAAAGTTTTTTTTTATTTCATTTTAGTATCATCCTCTTTTTGTCAATGATATTGTATATGTTGATATAGTCACAGTTATCGTTTAATGACCTTTTTGTCGTCTTGTCATTGTCTCGTCTTAGTCATGGGAAAAAAAGCTCGTTGACGAACATTTTTCATCATAGTTTGCGTTAACGAAATTAACACGACTCAAGGATTCAGGTTATGCTCTTGATACTTAAGTATTTATTTTTTAAATCTCCATCACAAGTGACACATCACAAACTAATGACTAGTACATTTTTGGCAGGAACGTTGTTTGTCCCAATCAGAAACTGAGATCAACACAAGATTAGCTTTCAGACACTTGTGGTCCCACCTTTCCCTTCAAGACTCCATGTGAACATCCTGTTTCAGGGCAGATCTCTGTGTCATTGTAGCAGCTGTGTTCTCGTCTAGAGGAGGCTTGTGGGAGAGATGGGCCTCTAATGAGCTGATGAGGGGTCAGATGTCGTGTGAACTGAGCCGGAGGCAGTAGTGATAGTGTGTGTTGGACACCAAAGGGTTCTTTCCACATGGGACTTGAGTGGGAACATCTTTCCTGTGGCCATCTGTGCTGATCAAATACTGCTCCTTTACACTTTACAGAGAAATGACAGGGCAGAGCTGAGATTTATATCAACTGCTCTTTTTTTATACATGGGACATTGAGACACTCTCATCCAACGCCACAGGATGACTTAAATTATTTAAAGTAGGGCTATCAATGTTAACACATTAACGCATGCGATTAAATAAAAATCCATAACGCGTTAAAATAATTTAACGCAAATAAATTATTTAAGCACGTGAAATTGCATCATTAACGTAAATTGTCAAGCAGTCAGATGATCATACAAGTCTGGAGTTTATCACACTGAGAATCTACATTGGCACCTGTAACCCTGGTAGGTAGAAATTTCTATTCTTAACCTGATTTCGCTTCTCTGTTTGCGATCAGATCATTTTAAGCCTTCAAAATCCTGGAATGTTTTCAGTCTAATGATCCAGTAAGTGATAAGCAAACCAGCGTCTTCCTAGTAAACCTTTGATGAATGAGGACTGCAATCAAAGTAAAGGAGTTGTACAGCAAGCATGCGCGAGTCCATTATATTGATGCACATCATTCGGTTATCTCGATGCACTGATCGCACATTGTATTTATGCACAGACACATTTCAGTACATTCACATTGTTTCCACACATTCAGGATAATACATTCAGTTCTTGAAACTTCTGGAATCACAAAATGAATCATGATTCATTTATCAATATTCCCAGTTATGTTAATAAAAAGGTTTGAAAATGACCAGCTGAACAGTCATAATTACAGAAGAAACTATCAAAAGTATACCAAAAATATCTTGGCTTGCTGCGATTGTCAGTTTTAGTCAGTGTCCATTTGGTTTCGAAGCGAAATGTAAAAGCCGCTTTTGGCAATATTTTGGATTTAAACCCAATGCTAATAGGGAACCTGCAAACATTGAGGCAATCTGTAAACTTTGCCTGATGAAAGTGGCAGCATCAGGAGGTAACGCTTCTAATTTACACACACACACACACGCGCGCGCACGCACGCACACATGCACACACGCACACACACACACACACACCTTCAAGTGCACCACAGGAATGAGGCTGCCATGCTTATTCGTTTTGTTAAAGCTATCTTAATCTTTTTTGATAAAAAAAGTTCTATTAAGTTTGTCATTGTAGTATTTTGTTGTTGTGTTTTTCATTAATAATGAACTCATCTTTCAAGCAATTGCTGTCCCCAAATTGCCGCTAATAGAAAGTAAAATGTGCACAGCCGCACAGGCATTCATAAGCGTTCATAATATTGCGTTGGACAAGGCCTTCAGGTCTATAGGCAGTTAAGGTAAGTTCAGATGTCTTTTTTTGTTTGACATTTGGTTTTGGTTAAATAAAACCTGTAGCCTATAGAGAAATTACACAAACTGAAATGAGAGAGATATTAATTTTCAGTGATTAGACACTGTTTTGGACTGACACCTACTTTGAACTTGAGGTGTACAAAGACTCAATTTATGTGCACCACCTACAATTCCTTCTAATAATGTATCTATTTATCATGAATTCATGAAGCAATGCAGATGGGCCTAGGCAGTCTGACTAATGCCAGATGTTACATGATTTCTTTCCACCAGAGTTTAAGCAGGTGCACAGGGAATAATGTTGCTCTGTGATGACCAGTAACAGTGTAGACGCAGTCATTAGCATTTTTGTGGGATTATGTGTACAGGCTAGCAACAGTCCAGCTGCTTTGAGCTCTACCCAGCAAAGACAGATGTGTTGGCTCTCAAAGTTGTTCTTTTAACATGTCCCCCTCAGCTCAATGTGGCAGTGAAGTGTCTGAAGACAGACGTGCTCAACCAACCAGATGCTCTGGACGACTTCATCTGTGAGGTCAATGCCATGCACTCTCTTGACCACCAGAACCTCATCCGTCTCTACGGAGTCGTCCTCACACACCCCATGAAGATGGTGAGTGAGTGTGCGTGTTCTCATCTAAAACAAATTGGTGGCAAAGACAGGGTGCTAAAGTATCAAGGCCTTGAGAAGGGAGGGGTGGGCTAAAATAAGGCCTGACATTTGCATGCTCTCTCAGACTCATTATTTGCTGACACTGACTTCTGGAGTTATTCCTGATTGGCAGTGTTCATTGTCTCCGGTGGCGATATGCTTCTTGTCATATCACTTTTTCAGTCGTTATGAAATGAAACTTAATATTGTCCCCTTTTCTCCCCCTGCCTCTCTTCCCTGAATGACCCCACTTTATCACCTTTCTTTCTCTAAGGTGACTGAGCTTGCGCCTCTTGGCTCCATGCTGGATCGTTTGAGAAAGACCCTGGGCCATTTCCTCATTTCCACCTTGTGTCAGTACACCATCCAGATTTCCAATGGCATGGGTTACCTAGAGTCCAAACGCTTCATCCACAGAGACCTGGCTGCCAGAAACATCCTGCTGGCTTCCAGTGAGCAGATCAAAATCGGAGACTTCGGACTAATGAGGGCACTGCCTAAGAACGATGACCATTACGTCATGCAAGAGCATCGCAAAGTCCCTTTCGCCTGGTGAGGGAGGGAGGTTTGGAGGGCTGGATATATTCACAAAGGAAGAGTTCGTGTTTGCATGTGGTTTGAATCTATAGAGAAGGGATATGGAGAGCTTAAAATTATTTGGTTGATTTTGTTTATATGCAGTGACATGCCAGAGCTCAGGATTCAGATTGAATTTGAATGAGGTCATTGTTTGTGGCCCTTGTTTTGATTAAATGAACTGTGCATGATCCTCATTTCATTTTTCCTCTTGGTGGATTGTTCATTTACGGCATTTTATTCTACTGACGTAATGTCTATGCATGGTGTTTTTTTTCACATAGGTGTGCCCCAGAGAGCCTGAAGACACGCACATTTTCTCATGCCACAGACACATGGATGTTTGGTGTGACACTATGGGAAATGTTTACCTACGGTCAGGAGCCCTGGCTCGGACTAAATGGTAGTCAGGTAACCCCACCACATACAATCTGTACTTTCAGTTAGTCATAAACATCTACCTTTTGAATGACCAGCTTTCGTACAGATATGAACCAATGACCCAAATAGGGCTTGCTCGATTATGGCAAAAAAAAAAATATCATAATCACGATTATTTTGGCCAATATTGCAATCACAATCAGTGTTTCCTCTAGGATTTTTTCCAGCTGTGGTGGCAGGCCTATTTCCCCCTGGTGGTTAAACCTCACCACCACCCAAGAATCATGCGCACTCACACACAGGCCACTTTCTGAGGAATTGAAAAATGAAAACAACCAAGCATCTCTATCAAAATTTTTTTGGAAGATATTTATTTGCAAAGATTTAAACTGCTACATTAAGAGAAGGCTAAATTCATAATATATGGCAAAAATACTATTATAAATTAGGTTAGAAGATAATTCAGCAGCAAAAGTTATTCTAGAAAAATCATGAGTGCACAATAATTTTATAAAATCTGAACATTTAGTGAAGAAATTTTTTTGTGATGAACAAATAAAAGGTCAAATGTTCCACATTGCTCTTTGTATTGTTATAAAAGACATTGATGAAAAACAAGTAAATATATTTATACAGTATACCATAAAATGAAAAGACATGTATAGTTATAGTAAGTAGTATAGTACATTTATAAGTTATAGTGCCACTTTTTAATGAGGCAACAACATATGATAGATAGGACAGAATAATCTTTCATTGCACAAAAGTATTATAATATGAAAGGCTCCAATACAGAGCGGCACAAAGTGCTTATGTGCATTCCGTGGACAGAATGATGCGCTTGAAGCAACATGGAGTCACTGCTCGCAGCGCTTCACATAGAAAAGTTCAAAGGACAAAGGGAAGAGATGGTGATGCTTAGTGTATTATATCTTTTAACAGTTTTAAATTTCAGTTACTGTGCGTGTGAAGAACAATTCATAGTGCTCACTACTCCAGTGTTGGGATCTAACAGACACGCGGGAGAAAGATGACATGGTTTAGAAACCACAATAAACTCATGCAAGATAAAGTCCTTTTATGCAAAACCATTGACCTTTATCTACAAAAAAAGTATAATAATGGGAACATTGATCTTGGAGTGAGTTTCATCGTGCTACTATCGTAACCAAATGTGACTTGCTGTTTAAATACTGAATGGAGAATGACTGAGGAGAGATGAGTTTGCATTAACTTTAACCTAATGACTTAAATATTAATTTGTACCTCACATTATGCTATCGAATGGCTTCAGAATTCATACAGTCTTACAAAATACAAATCTGATGAAATGGCGCACATTGCGTTCCCAGATTAATGTTACAAGCAACCCAAACTTACAGAATATGCAGAGATGGAGTTTGAGACGCGCTCCACGCATGTAAATGGTAACAGTTCATGTGGAGCAGCATTTACTGTGAATGGAGCCGCTCTGAGACGCACGCAAGTAACCTACACACATGTAATAAAGCGCATATTAAATGTGTACACAAATAAAAGTGGACCCTTTTCAAATTAATTATTACTCTTATCTGTATGACCAAAATGACAGTGTATTTTAAGTTGAAAAAATGCAAGTGATCGCACAGGCGCTTCCCATGTCGTGCAGTTAAGAGTGCTATACTTAAGCTTCCTTCCACTTGTACACATGGATCGCCTAATAGTAGCGCACATTTATCTAGGTTAACATTTGAGCGAGCGCCCATGTAAAGTTTTGGATTTCCTGCCTACAAGGAACTGCCTTTAAAGTCCTCACGGACTGCGTGACTTTGCCACTTCCTGTGGAGTTTTTTTTTTCTCCTCTGAGACTATTAGGGGGCAGCCCTAGTTTTAATACATTGTGCAGCCTTAGAAAACTGTCTATTTATGACGTTCATGGATTCTCGTCCGTGGAATGGCCACTTCCTGTATTTTGCCAGTTACTCGACACGTGTAAATTACAATCAAGGATTTTTTAAAATCAATTACTTGATTTTAATCAAGAAATCGTGACAGCCCTAGTCACGTAACAATTTTATGTTTTATGCACAAATAATTGTTTTATCTTGATTATCGTATTTTCATAATCATTTCTAAATTTTCAGAAACTCAATTTCGATTAATCGCATAGCCCTAACCCCAAAAATCTGATATTTAGAGCCTAAAATTGAATTTGCTGCTTAATAGTAATCCTGCCATTATTGCATTAATTTACTGGGTCAATCACAATTTTTTTTTAAATGTGTGTTTTTGACAGATCCTCCACAAAATAGATAAGGAGGGTGAAAGGCTGCCTAAACCAGAGGACTGTCCTCAGGACATCTATAATGTCATGATGCAGTGTTGGGCTCAAAAACCAGTTGACAGGCCAACCTTTGTGGCTCTAAGGGAATTTCTAATGGAAACCATGCCTACAGACATGAGGGCCCTGCAGGACTTTGATGAACCTGACAAGCTTCAAATCCAGATGAATGATGTCATTACCATCATAGAGGGCAGGTGAGCTCTTTTACCATAGAATTTATAAAAAACGGTTTTGAGGTGGTGAATTAAAATAACAAATATCTAGATTTTTTTTTTGTTCAAAGGTGAACTCGCGCTGCCTCCCCTAGTGGTCGCTATGGGGAATGACTCAGACATGAGAGGTGTATGAAGCATGAGTCTAAACACAACAATGGACTTGACATAGGCAGGCGGCAGCTTCTCCCAGACAGCGAGTCTGAGTTGTTAGGCTTTAAGAAGCCACCTTTGTAATCTGTTCTGACCGTAGAACATCGTTAGGCAGCCTCTCGTTTGAGTCGTCATACTGAGGTCTCTGTCCTCAGAGCTCAGCTAGGCAGTATGCTAGGTTGTTAGGCTCTTTGTGAGCCTCCTTTACTACTGACTTTACAGTAGTGGAGCGTTTTAGGCCTCGTCTCGTTATAGAGAGTCACTCTTCTCTGGCCTCCGCTACCTAGAGCCCCGCCTGAATAGCAGTTCAGAGTTGTTAGGCTTTGCGAGGCCTCATTGGTAGGCTGTTCTGAGCGTTGGACACCGATAGGCGGCCTCTCACTTTACAGAGTTGCTATATTTAGGCCGCCGTCCATAGAGCTCGGCCAGGCAGTAGTGTCAAGTAATTAGGCTCTCTGTGACCCTCCTTGATTACTGCCTCTACAGAGGAGTGAGACTGAGGCCTCAACTCTGTGTGCCTCCTTCATGGCTATTCTTAGCGTTGGGCATAGTAAGCCTCCTTTCGCTTTGGTGAGTTGTCATGCGGAGACCTCTGCCTTTAAAGCTCAACTAGGTAGCAGTATCAAATTGTTAGGCTCTACTGAGCCTATTTCACTAATGCCTTTAAGTGTTGCTAGGCTCTTACTATAGAGAGTCATCCTTCAAGGCCCTATTATGTAGCCGCCTTGACAGATGTAGGACTTAGTACTCAGGCCTCTGTCCCATGAGCTAAGCCAGGGGCCAAGTTGCTAGGCTCCTTGGCTAATGCACCTAAACCGGTGCGTTGTTAGGCCTCCTCTAGCTATAGAGAGTCTTTCTGCTGAGACCTCCACTCTCCAGAGCTCCGCCTGGGCTGCAGTTCTGAGTTGTTAGGCTTTAGGTGAACATCCTTGGATGCTGTCCTGAGTGTGGAACATAGATGACCTCCTCTCAATATCAGGTAGTTGGGCTTTCTGTGAGCCGCCCTGTAAGCTGTCATGGGTGCAGGATATAGTAGGCCTCCTCTCACTTTGGAGAGTTGTTATGCTGAGGACTTCATCTTCGGGGCTCACCAGGTAGCAGCGCTGAGTTGGTAGGCTCCCTCTGAGCCTCCTTGGTTACTGCCTGTACTATGGAGCGTTATTAGGCCCCCTCTCGCTATATCAAGTAGCTAGGCTCTCTGTGAGCCTTCTTGGTAGCTGTCCTGGGTGTAGGACATAGTTAGGCCTCCTCTCACTTCGGAGAATCATTATGCTGGGAGCTCCGTCCTCAGAGCTCGACCAGGCATCAACGCTGAGTCGTTAGGCTCCCTCTTAGTTTCCTTGGTTACTGCCTGTATTATGGAGCATTGTTAGGCCTCCTCTCGCTAGAGTTATCTTATTGAGGACTCCGCTAGAATAACAATTTGTGAGTTGTAGGTTCTCTGTTAGCCTCCTTACAAGACATCCTGAGCGTGGGGCGTTGATAGGTCTCCTCTCGATTTAGAGTCATCATGCTGAGACCTCCGCTCCTAGAGCTCGGCCAGCTTTTTTGCTAAGTCCTTAGGCTCTCTGTGAGCCTTCTTGGTTGCTGTCCTGGGTGTAGGACATAGTTAGGCCTCCTCTCACTTCGGAGAGTTATTATGCTGGGAGCTCCGTCCTCAGAGCTCGACCAGGCATCAACGCTGAGTCGTTAGGCTCCCTCTTAGTTTCCTTGGTTACTGCCTGTATTATGGAGCATTGTTAGGCCTCCTCTCGCTAGAGTTATCTTATTGAGGACTCCGCTAGAATAACAATTTGTGAGTTGTAGGTTCTCTGTTAGCCTCCTTACAAGACATCCTGAGCGTGGGGCGTTGATAGGTCTCCTCTCGATTTAGAGTCATCATGCTGAGACCTCCGCTCCTAGAGCTCGGCCAGCTTTTTTGCTAAGTCCTTAGGCTCTCTGTGAGCCTTCTTGGTTGCTGTCCTGGGTGTCGGACATAGTTAGGCCTCCTCTCACTTCGGAGAGTTATTATGCTGGGAGCTCCGTCCTCAGAGCTCGACCAGGCATCAACGCTGAGTCGTTAGGCTCCCTCTTAGTTTCCTTGGTTACTGCCTGTATTATGGAGCATTGTTAGGCCTCCTCTTGCTAGAGTTATCTTATTGAGGACTCCGCTAGAATAACAATTTGTGAGTTGTAGGTTCTCTGTTAGCCTCCTTACAAGACATCCTGAGCGTGGGGCGTTGATAGGTCTCCTCTCGATTTAGAGTCATTATGCTGAGACCTCCGCTCCTAGAGCTCGGCCAGCTTTTTTTTGCTAAGTCCTTAGGCTCTCTGTGAGCCTCCTTGGCTCCTGTGAGCGTTGTTAGGCCTCCTCTCCTAGAGAGCTATCTTTTGAGCTAGCCTCTCGTTAGCCTCTATGGGAGCCTTTTGGCTACTGACGTCAATGTGGAGTGTGCTAGGCCTCCTCTCATTATGAGAGTCTTTGTATTGAGGCCTCCACTCTGCAGAGCTTTGTTGGTCAGACTGAGTTTATAGCTCTTTGAGTGTTGCTCTTGTCCTCTTGTTTGATGCCTCAACTCTTCAGGGCTGCCTGAACAGAAGTTCTGAGTGTAAGGCTCTCTTTGGAGGCCTCCGTTCTTGAGAAGCTCCGGTCTATGATCGCGTTGCTTGTGTGCACTGTAGGGATGAGAACTCCTTTGAGTCCTTTGACTTAGCTTAGTAAATAGGGCATTCATCCCTTCAGCATGGCAGTGTAGGTATTCCATTCCCTATTGCAACCCCTAGGGGACGCAGCACAAGTTTCCTTTCGAAAGGGAATGACTCAGGTTACGCATGTAACCATGGTTCCCTGAGAATAGGGAACAAGACAATGCATCCCTTTGCCATGCTTTCGGTATTCCTGCAGACGTCTCCTTTCAGACAAGAAGCGGATGACGTTTTAGCACAGGTGCCCTTTTATACTCTCGGTCGCACCAGTGGTGACGTCATAGGCTGCCGCCTGCCAATGTCAACTTCATTGTTGTGTTTAGACTCATGCTTCAGAACCCGGTCATGCCAGAGGCATTCCCCATAGCAACTCCTAGGGGATGCAGTGTCTCGTTCCCTATTCTCAGGGAACCGTGGTTACATGCGTAACCTGAGACATTATTTTAGCTTATTTTAATGCTTGATATGTCTTATTTTAAGTAATTTTAAAAATAAGATTCCCTATTGGAAATTCGCTGAGAACCACTGGTTGACACTAAAGGAGGGGAATTGTAATACATTTAAAGGTTCTGGTTAAATAACTCAGACTGATTCATAAGTGTTTGATTTGCTAACAAGAATCTGCTCATATGATTTACTCTTTCACGAAACAAACTGTACTGGTTGCATCAACAGTTGGTTCTAGTATTTAAAAATACATTTGAAATACTGGTTCTCAGTTCCCAACCCTATCGGCACCAGTCGGCTTCCAGTACTTGTCTTAAAAATGGTCTCTGTGTGCCCCGCAGGGCAGAGAACTACTGGTGGAGAGGTCAGAACAAGCGTACCCTGAAGGTTGGTCAATTTCCCAGGAACACGGTCACGTCAGTTGCAGGTCTCTCTGCCCATGACATAAGCCGTCCACTGAAGAACAGCTTCATTCACACAGGCCATGGAGACTCTAATCCTCACCGCTGCTGGGGCTTTCCTGACAGAATCGATGAGTGAGTCCCTCAAATGTAATCTCACACGTGTGCTCTTTATTTTCACAATGTGGTGTTCTTTGAAATAGGAGTTTTAATTGGTCGTCACCTTCATTTATATAGCGCCTTTTACAATACAGATTGTTTCAAAGCAGCTTTACAGTGATAATAGGAAATTAATGGAACAAAGATTGTTTTGGCTGTACAGCAGCTCTAGAAGAAAATCATTGTCCAGTTTAAGTGATTCAATTCCGTTGTAAAAATTATTAGTTATTAAGGACGCTTAAACGACACCGTTCTGGCCATTTATTTACACGACAACGGTGTTTGATGGCCTGATACCGTTATCATTTCCGTGTAAACTTCAAAAACGTGAATCTGTGAAAACGGTGACGGCATGCTCATGCGTATTACGCGTTTAGTCTATAGGTATGTGCATTTATATCCATATGTGCGTGGACACGTAGTCTTTCTTTACAAAGTGACATCGCCAAATTACAAGTTTCCACGGATCCATGTGAACGGGAATCATTTTGATAACGTTTTTATTAGGGATGCACGATGATATCAGGACAACATCGGTATCGGCCGATAAAAGCTTAAAATGACCATCATCGGCATCGGCCGATATGAATATTTCTGCCGATGAGTCTTGCCGATAGGGTGGCGTGTTTCCTATGCGCACGTGACGACCGTGAACGAAGCATGAGCGCCAGCAACTTAAACTTCCAACTAGGGGTGTGCGTCTCACGGTTTCTGATCGTGCATTCTATCAGTTCAATTCTGGCGCCTTCATCTCAACATACTGTACAACGCGACGTACATTCACATCACGCAGAGGTAGAGTTACACTCACGGGAAACCGCAATTCACAAAAGTTCATTGTTTGCATGTGCGTCAAAGTCTTGCTAGGTAAACATGTCATTCACGTGCTGATGCGCTGTTCTAACATCCGCTTTTCTGAGCGCGTTACACCCGACGCTCACAGGAACTAAAAGCCTGTCACAGCGCCTGCACACTGGACTAATCTTTCGATTCTTATTGTGCTGATACTGTCAAATACACACAAGGTTTACATAAACAAAGTTGGTTATGTCTAAAGTGAAAGCAAACAGAGAAAATCTGCTTGTCAAATGCGTGTATATTAGACGCGTCGCGTTACTCGTGTGCAGTTCTTAAAGAGACAATCATAATATTCTGCCGCTTGTCTTTAAAGAGATACTGCACCCAGAAATAAAAATTCTGTCTATCTAATGTTGTTTCAAACCTGGATTCATTTCTTTCTTGTGCTTAAATATACGAAGCACAACGAAGTCACTGGAGTACAGCAACTGTTTGGTTAGCCACATTCTTCCAAATAACTTTTATAATTTCAACAGAAGAAAGAATGATGACAATTTAAATTTTTGGGAGAACTATCCCGTTAATGTTAATAAAACAACAAAACAGAGGAAATCACTCACTGCTCTTGACTGAGAACATTAATAGAAGCTTTAATAAGCTTTTTTTGCACTTAAAAAAAATACAAATATATCGGTATCGGTATCGGCATCGGGCAAAATTAGTTTGAAAATATCGGCATATCGAATATCGGCCAAAATCCTATATCGTGCATCCCTAGTTTTTATATGTACAGAGGGAAAGGGGAGGCCGAGGAGGCCTTCGCAGGGGACAGTCTAGTTGACCCAATTAAAGAGTGTTATTTTTATTTCAGTGATTTTTTTTTTTTCTTTTTTTTTTCTTTTCTTAATGGCTTAAAAAAAAAAGCATTTTTTCAATCTCAATGTTTAAAGAGTTTATGATAAGCTATTCTTATCCAAGGATGTATGTAAATTTTTAAGAGCTCATGTATTAATTGCCCACATAGATATGGTTATCGGCTTAACATCAGTTGATTAATTGTCCTGACCAATGTATTGGTCTATCTCTAGTGTAAATGTTGGTCTGTATCACAGTGATAGCGTTAATTTGTGTAACCAGTGTTCTCACAAAACATGTTTATGTTCTGCTAACCTCCCCTAGAATCATGCTTCTCTTTTAATTACTGTAGCTGTTCACACAACCACATCACATTTTAATAAATGCTACATTAATATAGATCAGTAGGCTCCTTAAGATGAATGAGGAAATAATACTTAGTAGTTTTTAGTGGGCGCGAGTGTAAACTCGCAAGTTGTAAAGATGAAACCTTTCTGGTCACACGCTGGATAACAAATGCTTCTGTCATGGCCAATAAGTAAAGTGCCACATTCACTTAGATGGAGCCACGGCCCAAGTCTTTGCACATAATGACAGCAAATAAACACTTTGCTTCATCAGCACAAGGTGGCAGTAGAACACAGTACACTGTCTCTACCATACAGTTGGCTGTATAAACTGATACCACAGCTGTAAATACTGCTGTAAAACATCCTGTAAAATATAAGGGTGGCTGTTAAAGTCTTTTTACAACTTTGGTAATACAGTGTCATTAAATCTTCTTTTGGCAGGGTTCTAAAGCCTGTTTTTCTGGTGAACTTAGATTTAAGAAATGGTTTTGTATAGACACTGATGGGCTGCTAAATGCTTCTGCCATTCTGTTGCTTTTGCAGTCTTTATCTCGGGAATCCCATGGATCCTCCAGATGTGCTAGGGCTGGATTTGAACTCTGCCAGACCAACTCAACTCCCTGGACGTGCTAGGAGTAAGCGAATGACTTTCATTTAGAAAAGTTTAAATATTTATAAACAGGGTTCCCACACTCATGGAACATGTCAAAACATGGAAATGTCAAAACATTTTAAAATTGATTCCAGGCCTATTGTACTTTCTATTCGTCAGAGTCCTGTACAAAAAAAGAAACAAAAAGTGTTGTTTCCCACAACATTTTAAGCTACACAACACTGATAATGTGACACTGAAGACTGGAATAATGGCGGCTGGAAATTCAGCTTTGCCATCAAAAGAATAAATTACATTTTAAAGTATATTGAAATGGGAAACTGTTATTTTAAATATGAATATATTAATTGTAATATTTAATAATATTACTGTTTTACTGTATTTTTTTATCAAAAAATTGCAGCTTTAGGTGAGTATATAAGACTTCTTTAAAACAAAAAAAACTTTTGAATGTGTGTGTTTTTTATTATTTTTATTATGCTCTGCACACAAACAAATCTTTGGCTAGATAGTGTTCAAAGTAAAACTACTTTGTTAGCCACAGTAATGTTCAATTTGTGAGGAATTGTTATTTTGAATGTGGTCTCTTCAACAATCTGGTTCACAGATCAGAGCATTGGTTTGTATAGAGAATTTGACTGGTGGTGTGTGGACGTTGTCTGTGTTCTTCAAGTTTGTGTTGGCATATATGAACATGGCAATTGTCCTCCTATCCGCACTAAATGGACCACCTCAATTTTGAGCGAACTCTCGAATGGTTTGCTCTGGTTGAGAAAGCAGTCCAAGCCAGAAAGAATGACCGATAGCTCTATTACCTACAAAATCTGTGGGTCAGCACATCACTCTACGTCATAATTAAAATAAATGCCTTTAAATGAATCTACTGTAAAACAGGTGCAAAATTGTTTTTCCAGGATCAGCCCTGATTAGCGCTTAAACTGATAAATAGAAATAATAGTGATAAACTGAAAGCAATCAGCCAGCTGAGCTGTTGTCCATCCATCATTAAATTTGTTAATGTTGCTGAGCTAAACTCCAGAATGTAAACAGATCTGAAAATGCTCTGAATAATTTATTGATGTATTAGTTTGACTCTAATTTTAATAAAAAAATAAAAAATAAAAAATAATTCTTATCCAGTAATCATTAATGGATAGAAAGAAATGTGTTGGTTAAAAAGTGTGGAATCCTTGTAATCCAAAACCCTACTTTAAAAATATTGACTCTAAAATAACTCAATTCCCAAACAAATATATGTTTGCTTTTTTCAGTTAACTGCTTCAGGTCATCATGCTTTGGGCACTCTCACTTCTGTTCTGTTTTGTTCTTTTTCTTTTTTCTACCTGCAAAATTTCTTTGCATATGCTTTCTATCTTTCACTTGCTTGCTTGCTCTACAGAGGAGCCTCCCCCTCGGCCCCCTCAGCCATCTTTGCTGGTTAAGAGTAAGTGTGGACCCTCAGTTCAGTTTACTCCTAGCACCCCTCCTCAAAGTTACTGCACATCTGTATTGTATGCCTTTTTTTTGCTCTCTTTCTCCCTCTGCTTCTATCCCAATTGGTCCTGCTTTTTAGTTCTTATCTGTTTGTTGTGTATATGCCCATGTGCTGATATGACTTTTGGTAAACGTAATACCTATTTTTCACCAAAATAATGCTGGTTGCGGAGCTGGTGCTCAACTGGGATCTGCAAATCAAATCGAAATGCTCAAAATCTGAATCAAAAATTGTGAAATTACACTAGTGTAGCAAATTAGCACAAAGAGGAAATATGAATTATTAAACATAACTTGTTATGATTGATTTATGAATATTTTGATCAGTTAAGCTGTAATATTAATTAGGCTACATTAAGAAATGTTTGAAATTTTCAGTTAAATTTTTGACAGGGCAAGTAAAAATTAACCACTGGCCTGACCGTGCCAGTAGAAAAAATATTTAGCGTTGAGCCCTGCCCCTGTTTCCCCTGTTGAGTCTGTAATGCCATCACAAGCTTTGGTGCATCAGTCAGCTGTCATTAAATATAGAATAAAAAAAATCATAGCCCTTAATTCATATATAATATTAGTAAACAGAATAATTTGACAATTGAACATGGAAAGTAAAGTGTCTGGAGTAGCTGCGGTAAAAAGCTTGTGGAATGAATGAAGACTGAATGTGTATTACATTTGGTCCCTAAAATATAGAACATTTTCTTGATTATAGTGGGTGTAAATAATTTTTTTAAATTATTTACAATTTATTTTTTGTTACTAGTTACTGATTTAATAGCACATTTGGACTCGTTTTGGAACTGATATTTCCAGCACAGCCATTTTTTTTATGTAGACACCAAAGAGGTCTGTGCATTAGCTTTCCCATTCAACAAGACTTGCCAAACCTAGACCCTTTGTTGAATCGCTTGGTGCTGGCTCCCACCCAAATGCTGGTGAAAAAAGGTTATGAGACATGTTGGTGTTCATTAGTTTCTCTTAAGGAATCTGAGATATACTATACCTTCATGACTCTTCATCGTGTATGCTCAATATTTATCTCTCTATAACAGTTCCTCTGTCATTACATTACATTTCATGCTCAACAGTTCATATTTGTTTGCCTGTGTTTATGTCATGTGACCAGAACCTTGCTATGATGTTGTTGCTGAGGATGAGGACCAATCTTCATCAGGTCTTCGGCGACTCTCTTTGAAGAAGAAGGGCCTTAAGCTCAAACCAGCCGCCTGGGTCTCTGCTACCAAATTAGGTGATCGTTCGACATACGGTGTGCGGACTCCAGGGGGCAGCACTCCCACAGAAGTCTCTCTCATAGACTTTGGAGAGGAGTTTCCATCGATCACACCTTCACCCTCTCCTGTGATGGAAATCCAGATCCCAACCCTTGCTAAACTGGCACTTGAAGCAGAGAACATTTTGGACAGAACTCCTCCTCAGAGCCCCTCACGCTCTCTACCCCGCCCCCTTCACCCTACCCCAGTGGTGGACTGGGACGCCCGGCCCCTTCCTCCACCCCCAGCCTATGACGATGTAGCACAAGATGAAGATGACTTTGAAGTGAGTTCTATCAACAGTGCGGAACGCGGAGCTGATGAACCATGCTCTCCACGTACGCCCTGCACTCCTACCAGTGAGTGCAAACCTCATGTAGAAGACAATTTGTTTTTGCCCTGCAGGCAGAGTAATGCCTGCACCTTCTCGCAGTCTGCTGAGATCTTCGAAGAGTTGCAGCAGGAGTGTATGAGGCACCTCAATGTACCTGTGAGCTCTACCAGCCCTTGTCTGGAGACACACCGCCAGATTGTCCTAACGTTTTCTGAAGACAAACCCCAGATACCCCCACGCATCCCCATACCACCCCGTCCAGTCAGACGTGCTGGTGGCGATTATGCCCGCTGGTCTGGTGAGCTTTCCCCAGTCTCAGGAATTGAGGATATGGAGCGTCCACCCCAGATTCCCCCACGAGACCCCCTCTCTCAGTCTGGCTCACGCACACCAAGTCCACATGTGGGCTCCCCTCAGACTCGCAGCAGCCTCTGCTCAGCCGCCTCCATCTGCGGCCCATCCTACCTCTCCACCTCACCTGCTAAACTCATGCCAACCACTCAGAGCTTTGCCTCTGATCCCAAATATGCTGCTCCCAAGGTCATCCAGGCACAGGGCAAAGATAAGGAGCAAGCCAAAGGGCCCTGCATTCTGCCTATTGTACGTGATGGCAAGAAGGTCAGCAACACGCATTACTACCTCCTGCCTGAGAGGCCTCCGTATCTGGACCGCTACGATAAGTTCTTCAAAGAGGCAGAGAGCGGTGAGGAGAAGAAGCAGATAAACACAGCCACTGTTAAGCCCATGGTCCATCAACAAGGGGAACTCAAGTCCAATTTCTCCTCCAATAACAACAGTAGTTTGACAGGCTCTGGATTTAGAGGTGGGCTAAAGAACTCTCACAGCCTGTGCCGAGTAAGCTCTGATGGCTCATTTAACAGGGCTGACAGCACCAGCAACCACGACAGAGTCAGACTGGTGAGAGATTTTGAGGTTTATATTAAACAGATCCTTTTTATTACTGGTGGTTCTCTTTCAGAACTTTTAGAAAAAGTTGTGTGCTTCCAACATAAGCAGTCATGTCCTTTTTGAATGTCAGAATAGTGATTTATGAGTGACTTGGGCTGTCAGTATGGGGTCATAATTGAGGGAACTTGTTGTTGGCCAGAGTAATTATCTTATAATAGTGCAGCATGCAGATAGCCCATAATTCTGTTCCATAACCTAGTGAGTTTCCATGGATAACTTCATTACAGCTACCCCCCCCTCCCCCCCTCCCCCCCTCCCCTTAAAAAAACACTATGCTTATTTAGTTGTTTAGGGCAAAATTTGGGTGAAGACAATCCCAGAATGTTTAGCAGTGAGCTACCTGAGAAAATGTATCCAAGACAGCAGAAGAAAATGGTCATTATATTTAGGAAGAGGCTGTATGCGTAAATCGTGTTAAAAGCTAAATACACTGTCTTTACTCTCCACACCACTCTACTAGTGGTCAAACTGGTTTCTTTGTTATTTAATTCAATTAAAATTGTTTTTGTTATGCTATGCTATGCGTTGTTTTGCAAATTACATTTGTTCTGGGTTCAGGCGAAATTCTGAGCTTGCAGCCCTCTCCTCGGACAGCACACCAAATACGCATATTTTTTGCTTTATATGATTATATGTAAGTGTGAACTTGTGAAATGGCCTTTGTGACTGCCCATGTAGGCTGTAGCACAGAGAAGCAGTTCATAGCTTTTGAAACCGAGCTGTCTGTTAAACAATTAGATTATATAATTAAGTAATGAATTAGGCTCACATTATTCTCTCTGATTATCCAAAGCACTCCTTTACTGGCCATCTATGGATTTAAGTTCATAAATTGGATTTGCCCTGTTTAGGTGCAGGAGGCTGTCCATGGAGTAACAATTGAAGAATGTCAGGTGGCTTTACAGAATCACAGCTGGAATGTGCAAAAGGCTGTACACTACTTGAAGGTAACAGCCATCACAGCTGTCTTGATTCACTGGCTGGTTAATTGTAATCTAATTAGGGGCCAAGCACCAAAGGTCTTCTTCTTCTTCTCTCTTGAGTCTATGGCAGCCCATATAACTGCATGTGGGAAAGTTATGAAATTTGGCACACAGATAGAGGACAGTCGGAACAGTCACCATAGCAAATTTGGATTCCACCATTTAGAATTTTCCAAACTCCTCCTTGGCCGATTTTCACGAAAATTTAATCAGATCATCTTTAGATCAGGCTGACAAAAAGGTATGGAATTCAAGTTGATTCGTCAAACCGTTCTCGAATAAGATGCAAAGAAGAGCTTGCCAAAATGAACGTAAGGCTATATATTCTCTGCATATATAATATATTCTGACCAAACTTGGTTTGTGTTATGACAATCATGACCTGAGGGTACCTGCACTGTTTCGGCGCATTGCCACCTAGTGGCCAGGAGATATGAAATATTTAAATTTTTGCTTATAACTTCAGGACGGTTTGCCTAAAAAAACTGGTCTCTTTAGATATGGTGCAACATGCTGAGTAGAACGATATCCAATTTTTCCATATCGGCCATTTTGCATTTTGTCATAAAATGCTATATTTTACGAACACATTGGCGTATCGTCGTTACGAAACTCCGTATGTGTCTTTGGCACCATGCCCTGAAGGTACTCAAAACGTTTCAGGGCAGCATCACCTTGTGCTCAAAAGTTATAATGACATTTCCAAAAATGCTAATAACTTTTGATTAAATTAGCCTATTGTAAGTCTTAATAGATTCCTTGGGTCATGCCGAGAACATAAATACCGATTTTGCCATAGTCGGCTGAACTTCTTATATGCCATTTTGATTTTGTTTAAAACCCTACTTTTTCAAACTCTTCTTAGACCGTTGGTCCAATTTTCACCAAAATCGAATCGCATCATCTTCAGACCATGCCGTCAAAACATTATGGATTTCCCATGATGCCCAACCATGCTTGCATGACTTACTGTGCCTTCTTTGTGATTGGCCCCTTAATTGCTGCTTGCAGCTATATTTGTAATTTAATCTGTAAGTAATCAGTTTGGAAGTATATCCATGATGTTCATTTAGAACCTAATGCCTTAAATGACTCTTTTTCATGTTTCCCTTCTTTGGTTCCCAGGTGGAGCAGCTCTTCTGTCTGGGGCTGAAGACGAGGGTGGAGTGTCATAAGATTCTAGAGATGTATGACTGGAATCTGGAGTTAGCCAGTACACAACTGTTGGACTCCTATGGCTCGGTCAAGCTAAGGTAGGACACTCTTTCTTTTTTGTTGTTCTGTGCTGCCCCCTGCTCATAGTTTAACCTCTCCTTATAAACTCCTCATCTGCAGCATGAGTCTGTCCTTTTCCAGAAAGCTTATGTTCATAGCACCCAATTCCAAACTATTCTGTTTCCATTGAGCAGATGACCAAAATTCTTTTTGCCATACACTGATTATAATTTCCAGCTGGGCAAGGCCTATTCTATTTAAATCACCTCACAAATGCTCATTCTGTTTCATCAAACAGTTTGTGATGCTTTCCAACATCATGTCACATCCTGCTTAAAAACTTTCATGGAATTAATGTGCCATTAGTTACAACATTTGAATGTGTTGTACTCAGACTACAGTGAAAATAACCCCTCGAACCAAGAGAAGAGACGAATTTGTTTGCTGAGCCTGTTTCTTGATACCTGTACAGAGATGTTGCATTAACTCTAAATTAATTTCCGTCAATAACCTTAAATGTAACAATTATGCCCCAGGGAATACTCATGCCACTTTCAGTACCTATCATCAATTTCCATCTGTTGTAGAAAACATCCCGAGAGGGGGCTCAGTCTACAAAAAAATCGTAGTGTTGTGTGTGTGTGTTATTCCAAAGTCAGCACATTTTGATTTATTGCTGCCTGTAAAAAGAAAAAAAAGTTTTTACACCTTCACTACTTAGTTGTGCAGTACTGCATTACAAGTTGCTTTCCTGGCATTTTTTGTGTAGCTTTTAATTATAATGTTTATTTTTTAATTTTCCTTTTTCCTATTTTTTATCGCTCCCATTTTTGATTATATCATATTGTCCTGTATTGTTATCTTGCCTGTGCATTAGTTTAAGTTTTTGTCAAAATTTCTATGCATCAATTCTTTATTTATTTTCTTTCTTGCAGACGATGATGGATTGGAAAAATCCTCATGCTCTAAAAGACTGTTGAGAGCACAGAGGGGACACTAAGGGCCAACCAGGAATCTATCCTAACAAGCACATTTTACCTCCAGATCTGGCGTGTGTGTGTGTGTGCGTGTGTGCATGTGTGCGTGTGTGTGTTATACAAGCATAAGACAGTGACTGTTCCTCCACAAATCTCTCTCTAGGGTGCAATACAGGTTCACACAGGTCAAATTTTAAAGAACCCGCTTTTTATTTTCCAGTGGATTGCAACAGATGGAAAACAAGGTGCTGCTTGTCATTTTTCATAATTTTATACGAGAGGTGAATAGACAGACTTATGAAAGCCGTACGTATGTATATATTGTCAGATGTTTTGGTTATATATGTGCATCTGATTCGAATAGTTCCTTTTACATTTGCTTTTTTAATTTAATTTGTTTTGTGTGGGTCACTTGTAACAGAATAAGAGTTATTGAAACCTGACCTATTTCAAATGTATGTACAGTATGTTAAATTGATGTATTATATGTTAAAGCCCTTCATGTTAAACTATCATCCTCTGTCCCCCATGCTGAGAGACTTAAGACCCTCTCTCTGCCTTTAGTATTATTATTTTTGTACTTTGCTCATGAATCATTTTAAACCAATTGATTTTGCTGGCGTGGCAGTGAAGTCACAAAACAGTTTTATTATTTTTATTATTATTTGCACAATGCTTCCAATCTGAAAGTTAAAAGACAAAACGCTTGAAAATGCATCAGGAGACCTCCAAAGCACAATTAAAGTGACTGAACCTTTTCATTTTTTACAAATCACAACTGTTAATGTGTTTGTTTCAATGTGGTTGGCACAGCACTAGACTCGATTAGTTTCTCCTATAAAGTTGCACAGTGATGTTGTGGCATTTTTGGCATCATAACGTTTTGTTGCAACAACACATGCAAAAGATCTTAAAGATCGGCAGTAAGGTGTTTCAAACTGCTTGTCTACATGAATAGATCTGCTTGAACAGTGACCAACAGATAACAAAAAAAAAACAGTAAAAGAGTCCACAGAAATGTTAAAAGTATAAGACAGCCTGTACAACTGAATGGCAGTCTAACTGTGTTGTGTTTTGACTGTAGCACCCTTACTTTATGAATGCTCAGTATCATATGTGTGGGTATCGCATAGATGCTGCTTTTGTGTTCATCATGGTACGCTGTCCGCCGTCCTCTCCTTTGTCCTGGCAATTTGAGAACAGGACTTGTAGTATTTGTTACCCTGACAAATTCTGTGTTGTGCAACACCATTCTTCACCCTGCTGCTGATCATCTGAAGATTCAGTCAAGAATGGAAGCTAGTCCTAGTCTTACATTTATGCTGTTGTAATTTTAGATAGACTAAAGTGAGTTGTCCGATAACCCTGTGTTCCCATTCACATACTCATTAGTTCCATTTTCCAAATAGCTTTAAAAATTAGAACCTTGGTATCCTTATTTTGTAAAAAGCATAATGATGCAAAATTTATAGTATATAATATAAATATATAAATGTATTTTTTATTAAAATGATAATTTTTTATCTTTTTCTATGGAAGTGTCTTCATATTTTCTTTCTTCCTCTTCAACACATTTTAAAGATTGTAGTACAAAAGAATACCAAAATATTAAGGCAGCTATAAATTGTATTAATGCAGACCCATTTATACTGTGAAAGGACAACAATAATTATACCTTGACAGCCTTATTGTGGATTTTTTTACTCACATTTTTCTTGGACCACCCGGGGGTTTTAAATTCTATTTTGAAACATCCTGCACTAGAATGTATATCAATCTGTCCTGCACCATGGATGCGTACTCAAACTGACTTTCTAATGCCTATGTGGACAGCTGTCTATATAAATATTCTGTCTAAAGTAAAACATATCTGTAATTGGGTCCATACTGTGCATTTGCAAAGTTATACATATCTTATGTCACTTGTGTTAATTTATTATTTTGATCATTATTTTAATGCTTTCTTATCCCAGAGCTGTAGTACTACCATTTCTATTATTTTGCCTTTAAAATCCATGCTGAAGATTTTTTTATTCCTTAATGTACTGTACAGTACAATACACTAAACAAACAAACAAACAAAAATACTCTGCCCAGTGCCCCAGCATCCTGTCTTTTGTCTGGGTCAGGCCAGAGAATCTCGCCCACATCACAGGCTATATTGGCCCTATCCAGGCAGAGGGGTAAAGTCCACTTGCATGCCTGTTCCCCGCTGGCACACATCAACTGAAATATTTGGCAGGCTTCTTCCATTTCATCGTCTCTGTGTCCTAGAAAAATAGTACGCACAGACCGAAGCGCGGGCCCTCAGATCACTTGGACGTGGCTGTGGTTACAAGAGGTAAAAACGATATAAATACTGTTCGTTTTCTCACACAAACCGCTCGTTTCGTGTCTTAGGCCATCAATGTGTACTTACATTTACGAGTCATTAAATCATGTTTAATTTGGACTTCTCTGTGCATGCTCTTTGAGGTGGTGACCATAGACCTGCATTATATGACTGACAGACAAGAACGGTTTGACCTAAAAATATCAAAATTGAAACTTCTGCGGAAACAAAGACACCTACATCTTGGATGCCCTTGAGGTAAGCTAGAACATATCAAAAATGTATTTCAAAGTGAACTATCCCTTTAAGACATTTATAAAAATGCCTTCTATATTTTTGTTTTGCTTTTCACTCCATCTTACCGAACCGTGATGTCTGAACCAAGGTATGGACCGAACCGTGACTTCTGTGTACCGTTCCATCCGTAGTATTGTCGTCATACCTATAAATTACGTTAAGCTATGCTAAAAGTGGTACCGCCAGACCCGGAGATCGGCTGAATGGTTTCCAAAACGGTAAAAAAAAATTGTTTTACTCGAGGCGAGGTGGAAGATGAGCTTAATTCCCCAAATGGTGGAATATCCCTGTAACGTTAGCTAGGCTTATCGTTAGCCGGGTACCCAAAAAAAAAAAAAAACACTGGCTTGATTTTCTGGAATCTGTGCGTCCGTTCATACATCCTGTAAAGACATTGCTGTGATGTGTAATGCCTCCACAGCGTCTTAAGTTTGATTATGATCTGCGATTTCTCTTTCAAGAAACCATACTTGTGCATTTTTTCTGATTCGATCATAAACTATCGCACTGCGTACCGTTCCACTAAGCTGGCGAATGATTTCAGCTTCAGCACCATCCCTATGACTCACCCCTTACGGCATTATCCCTGCCTTTTGTTCACACAGGGACACGTTCTGGGACTGATCCCGGCAATGTTACTAGATCCCCATTCCATGATCAATCGTATATTCTTTGAAATGTTGCTGTGTGAAAGGCAACAGAACCAGGAAGAACGCCTCATGTTACGCATGTAACCATGGTTCCCTGAGAAGGGGAATGAGACACTGCGTCCCCTAGTGGACACTTTGGGGAATGCCTCCGCATGACCGGTGTCTGAAGAACTGAGTCTAAACACAACAATAAACTTGACATTGGCCGGCGACAGCCGATGACATCACTACAGGTGCGACCGTGAGTATAAAAGGGGCACCTGTGAAATACATCATCCTCTTTCTTGTCTTCAGGAGACTGTTTGTATGAACTTGTGTCTAAACGAAGCAACCATGGCAAGCAATAGCTCTAAAAGCTTTCGAAAGTGTGTTTATCCATGTCAGTGTTATCTGACACCCAATGCCACTAATGATATGTGCGTTTGCCTGGGTCAGGAGCATGCACACTCAAGCCTTGAGGGGGCTATTTGTGTGCATTGTGAGCGCCTCTCAATGAAGGGGGAACCGTGGTTGCATGCGTAACCTGAGACGTTCCCTTTTGAAAGGGAACTCGCACTGCATCCCCTAGAGGACACTTTGGGGAATGAATACCCCCGCCGCCATGCTAAAGGGATGAGTGCCTTATTGGCTGACATAAAGACAAGACTCAAAGGAGTCCCCATCCCTGAGGTAAACACCAGCATCATTACTAATTCCCTACGGCCAGAGCTCAAGCTATAAAACCCTTTACAGACAAAGCTCAAGAGCTTTGTATTCCTAAGAACACCTTTAAGGGAATATAGTCATAGACCGGAGCTTCTGAAGAACAGAGGCCTCAACAGGACTCTAAAAGAGAGGAGGCCAAGCTATATTCTGTATTCAGGCCAGCTTCCAAGGAGGTTTCCAAAGAGCCTAACCACTTGGCACTCTCTGTTCAGACAGAGCCCTGAAGAGCGGATTCCTCAAAGAGGCTTAGCAACACTAACCCAAAGGCATTCCGGCTCCAAGGACAGAGGCCATAACAAACCGATTCTCAAAGTGAGAGGAAGCCTATCTATGTCCTAATAGAAAACAGCTATCAAGGATGCTCCAGAGAGCCTAACGACCTGATCCAAATGGGTTGCGAAGCTCTGCAGAGCGGAGGCCTCAGTACAACAATACTCATAAGGAGCGGAGGCCTAGCAACATTCCACACTAAGGTCAGTAGCCAAGGAGGCTCACAGAGAGCCTAGACCACCTGGCATACTGCCTGCTCATAATTTGGCTCAGAGAATGGAGGCCTCAGTATGATAACTCTCTAAAGCAAGATGAGGCCTAACTACGTTCAATGCTCAGGGCAGCTTCCAAGGAGGCTCATAGGGAGCCTAGCAATTCGGCAACACTACCCTGTTAAGCTCTAAGGATGGAGGCCTCAACAGGATAATTCTCCAGATTAAGAAGAGCATACCATCAGTAAGGCAGATGTTGGTATTAAAAGCATACTGCCAAAAACATCATACATAGGTCCAGCTTCAGGGCCATATGTAAACGTGTCGGAGCCCCAACAGACTTATGATTGATGCGAGCTGAATATGGCTTTCCCCAAGATCTCTCCACCTTGCGTGAAGATGGGGAGAAAGGGAAGGCTCGTACTAACTTGGCGGTTATGTCCCGACAAAAAGCATTCATCCAACCGAGTGTGAGTAAACTCGCGCTTCCATGGCAGATCTAATCGGTCCAAGGCGCGGGACATAACATCCAGCAGCTCGTCATATGCAGAGCAGGCGGGCTGAGAGAGCGCTCAGAAACATCTTCGGACTCAACAGGCTCATCCTGCTCATCTTGGCTTGAAGCCAGTCATAATGGATTTTGAGCATGCACTTTGAAAAAGCAAATGCATGACTTATAAGTAATTCAAAAAATTAATATAAATGTAATTATAACTTTTCTTATAATGCAGTATAGGTCTTAATGAGTCTTTATAAATATATTTATAGAATAGTAATACTTATAAATGAGTATAAATGGGGCTATAATTCATTATAAGCATGGGCTTCATAGAAAGTGTTACCCCAACCCACCCCTCACCCCTGTGCTATGCCTTTAAAACAAATAGCCCTTGATCACTGGAGCAAAGAACATACTCTATGAAGCTTACAATTTTACTATTGTGGTATTTATCGTAAATTCCGGCTCAAATCCTCAGGGAAAAACTGGTATTTATGAAGAATATTGTTCATTGATTTAGAAATCAATGCTTGTATGATTGACCTACTGTATATAACACAAGAACCCACATGAAGTATGAAACAGCCCTTTAAAGTGCATCTGTAGCAGACGGCCTGTTCTGTGCCATTCTGCTTCTGTTCTGGCTGCTCGTTGATCAGACTCTCAGAGCCTTAGACCATTCATCTTTGTGTTCTGGGCTATTGTTCAGTGCCCCAACACCCCAGCAAATTATTAATACCTGTCGACCTGATTATTACAGCATGCACAAACCATCTTATTTGCAGAATGCCCTGCTGAAACCCTGAGGAATATTTTTTTTTTTTTGCTGTGCTGCATTTTTGAGAGTGGTAACAGACTTATGTAATCTAATTTTCCCTCTGTCGATCAATTCAAATAGCAAGCTCAGTAACTTATAAGCAAATTTAGCTATTGAATCGTC